GAATTTACATATTCTACCCAGTTTCACAAATGGGGGTGTGTTTCGCATATTTGGATGTGTTAGGTGCAACGGGTCCCTGCAAGTTTCAGAAAGTGACAATTTCTACCCGGATTTTGAAAAATCTTGCAACTTTCACCCAAAAAGTCAAAAAATTTCATAAATTGGAAATTTTTTGTGGCTTTTTCGTGATTGTTTTTCCGTGCAAAATTTTTGGTGATTCATTTTTGGTACACAACAAGGGGGAGTATTGTATTGTTCATTCCTCGGGCACTTCTCATCCTTAATGGATTTTATAATCATTTTTTGATTATAAAAATGGGGAGAATGATGAGTATTCAAAGTGGGTTTCTCGAATATTTGTTTGTGGATTTTGAAGATCGGTGTTAATTTGAGGGTGAGTTTTGGTCTTGATTGCGCTAGCTCGTTAGAGACTAAATCCGGGGCATCTAATCCTAACTTTGAGGGGGAGAATGTTAGGGTGCAAAGTTATGCTTGGATGAGGCTTTACCCACTTGTGTGTGTAATGAGTTGCCTTTCCTTTATAAGGAAATGAGTGGCACTCATTTTATGTAAGAGAATCCATTTGGAGTGTAAGACTAGTGAGAGAAACTTTGTACAAACCCATTTGTATATTCTTTCTAGATCTAATAAGAGCTTACAAAGATTTATTTACTCCATGTGCTCTTGATTTTACATAATGATTCACTAGATCTTTCTAATTCCGCACATGCCATCATAATCAACACCACTACAGTGTTCCTTGAGAGAAAACTCATATGACAGGAAGTCAGTGGGAGTCTTATTGATCTTGTGAATTTCAGGATTCAATCGAGAATAAACCTTTTAGTTATCACTAGCACACGAACTAAGATTGATAAACTAACATGTTTAGTTGACACATTCTTGTTTCTGTGCACCTTCCAGTTGAGTTGGAAATTCATATGAGTTCTATGGCTCCTATTTGACTGCAAAAGACAAAACACATTGGTCAGTGAAAGTACATTGATCAATATGGGTGAGCTGTTAAACAACACGGAAGCACTGGTAGGCTCTTGCACTACCAGAGGGCAAGAAATTTAGAATAATGAAGTTCAGTCCATGAAGGAAATCTGAATTTTTTTTGTCATAAACCTTATCTTATGATTGTAGGTTGGAAACGATAGATACACATAGATGGGAACGTATACTCTATAAAATCTAGGTGGCAAAAAGTTTTCACTCTAATTTACGAGAATTATTTAAAGGAAAAACTTTTGCTAGTAGATTTTAAAGATCTGATACATATCATTATAGTTAGTAATTGTGTTAATTGCATTATTAAATTTGTAATATGATTACAACATCCATTTTCATAGTTCGAATTGTGAGAAATGGCAAGGAATTGTTTGAACTTTCAAGACATATGACTATAAGTTTTGAAAGGGTTTCAAGACATGTAAGCTATCTAATGAAGGTGTATAAGTTTAAGAAGTCTAGTTGAAGACTTATTGAAGCATAACATATCAAAAAGCTGTACTTTAGTTAGAAAGTCAAGAGTATTGATTTCTAGAAGTACAACCGATTTCTGGGTACATATCAAAGCTAGCGGGAGCATAATTTTGCTATTAGGAGCAAAATTGTTATGATAATGGGAGCATAATTTTTATGCTAAGTGTTGCAAAGTTGGAAATTTTATTTGTAGGAAACAAAAGTTTTCAATGTGCAAGTTGCAAAGTTTAGGAATTGTTTCTCTATGAAAGATATAAGGGAGAAGGAACTCATACTTCATTAAAAATCTAAAAGTTTAGATTGAAGGGTTTAATAGAACTTAGTTTTGGGAATATATGAATATCATGTTGAAATGATTTAGCATAGGAAATTTGATATATGGAAATATTATAGCAAGAGATACAAGGTCTTTATGTAAGACATAATGAATCGAGTCCCATATGCTTCAAATATAGAATCGATTACATATGCTATAATATTCAGTGGTTTTGATTTTTCGAAATTCCTTGGTGATTGAAAAAGGGGAAAATGACTAGAACTTTTTGTGACTAAAGTTGTTAAATAACTGTCAAAAAGTTCTAAGGTCATACTAGAGGATTGGTTGCTTGTAGACAGTTAGTACAATGGTATTGGTTGGAAGGACCATAATGATATGTTTTAGATTGGGATAATTCTTGGTCAAAATTAATAGTCATATGGGAATATGATAATGTTTCCATAATGGGAGTTTATTATTAAATCTGCATGTGAGTTGGAAACTTCAATGCGAGAAAGGTGTTTAAGGAGTGTATCTTGAATTTAAGACTGCATTACCATGGAATTGTTTTTACTTACAATGTTCCAATAGAATATACTGTAATATCATTGGCTAAGTCTATATGACTATGAAGCCTCGACATCATAGAAGTACAATGCATATAAAGTTGGAATTCCAAAACATTTAAGATAGTAGCAAGAATTTATAATTGTGAATTGAGCATCATTGTAATAGTGTCCAGTAGATCTATTTACAAATGAAGGACCATGGAGAGACATAGTATACATTTTCATAACATGGGATGATCGATGTTTAATTGCAGTGGTTAGTTGGTTACTCGAAACATTATACAATGAATAAAGTGATAATTATTATGGTGATTAAATAATAAGAGTTTTATTTATATTCAATGGTTTTGAGACCATAGTTAATGAGCTTATTATTGTGTTTCACTTTGCATGTTTTACTTACTGAATAATTTGCTTATTCGAAATTCCATAGTCGCTCATACTTTTCGAAGTAAGTAGTGAATTAAGACTGTCATGAACTTGATTGTAGAATGTCTAAAGAGTTTTAGGCATAGCAATAGTTTTGTTGCAATGTTCATGAGTACTTGGTAATGGGGATTTTAAGTATTTGATAAACCCATGCATAGAGAATTACTTCATGGATTCTATCACGAGTAATTATGATACGATGATATCTTATATTCTTGAAACAAAGATATATGAGTTGTTTGCGAGTCAGTTGTGCATTGATAATACGCAAAAGCATTAGTAACTGGATTTTATAAAACGTATTGTTGTGCATGATTTTATGAGTAAATATTGCAAGCATACTAGTCAAAGTTTATTCATTTTCTTTTACCTAATGGGAAAAGCGATATCTTTGGGCCCATCTGTGATTTCGTATTGACTTATAAGTGCTAGGCCTAGCCAAAACTAAATTGATGTGTTTGATTAGAAGGCTTATGGTATCATCACAAATCAGAAATCGGGATAAAAAATCTTTGGCATTGAGATTGATTATAATTCATGTCTCATGTCTGAACGATATCTTGTAGAACAGAGGAATATTTGATCACTTATCTTAGGACACGTAACTGACTGGATCAGAGTTCAACTGTGGCTTTTGGAAGCTATAATTTGTTGATAAGTTTGGAAGTTATACTAGCAATTGTAGTTACAAACCTATCCAAGTGGGAGACTGTTAGATTAGGTGTTTAAATCCATAACTATAATTGGTATAAACTATAATTTGTAGTAGCACACTCCTTTTGGGTTGCCCTCAAACCTAGCAATTGAATAGGATAACATTTGGAGAGATATACTAATTTTTTAATTTGTTATACAATTAATAAATTATTTAAAAATCAAAATAAATGATTTGTTAATATATTATGATAATAATATATTAATTAGAAATGTTGTTATTTAATTAAGAATTAATAAACAATTAACTAGAATTAATTTTGGGATTAATTGGATAAATTAAAAGTAGAAGGAATAAATGTGACAATGTTCAAAAGTTGAGCATTGACCAATTCAAGAGCTCTGTTAGAGGGGGAAGAATTCTAGAATGTCTTCTAGGGTTTCCTTGGGCATTAAGGAGCCTTGGATGCCTTAGGGAGGAAGTTAAGGGATTCTGTTTATTTTGGAGATACTTGCCTCATCTAACACTTTCCTATCACATATAAATCCCTCTTGGGTTTAATTTTCATCCAAGCCTTCATTCCTAAGAGGAATTATGAAATTTCCAGTTCTCTCCTCTCTCAATTCAAGTTCCTTGGTTCCTAGGGTTTGAGTGTGAATCGTTAGAGGCACGATACTTTTTTTGTTTGCTTCCAAGATTCTTTCAAGAAGGTTTTGATTATTTAATTACTACAATAACTAAGAGGTATTTAATCCCTATTTTGCTTGTGTTTTTAAAAAATTAGCCTAGGGTTTATAGTTTTGTTGTTCCATAGAATATTACTTCAATAGTTGTGATGACATAGATCCTTAGGTTGCATGTACCCTTTAGTGTTAAGGATTTATCCGTGTTAGTGCATGTAAAACCCATTAGTACCTAGTAGCATAAAGAAGAAGAAACTTGGTATTCTTGGACTGTCTGGGAGTGCATGTTCTTCCTGGGGATGATGGTCTAGATGGACCAGCTGCTAGTACAAGGTTCAACTTCTTGACTTTGTTAAGTAGCTGCTGAATTGCCAACAAGACTTCCCAAGCATGAATAGCCAAACTTGACTAACTCACGGGAAAATGCAACTTCAGTCTACTCATACTAAATTTTCTTCCTGACTAGATGAAGCTTTAGTGATTCGTTTCTTGATTTGGTGCATCTTACTTTGATAATGGGATTAAGATTTGATATACGAATACGAACGTCTCCAAACTTCTTCCTGTATATCCTTCATTTAGGTTTGAAACCTTATGTTGCTTCTCCACACTGTTATTGAAAAAAATTATTTTTCTTGACTTGATTATTTGAATTTTCATCAGTGGAGGCAAGGGATTAAACAAGTTTGGCAGATAGACCCTCTCCTTTACTATCTTCCTTCTTCCGTCGAACAAAAACATTATATTCTAACATGGTTTTTCTAACATTCTCAATACATAATCTCCATGTTTCTACTAATTCATTCAGATAAAAAATGAGCTTGATTTTATTTTTAATAGAAGGCGATGAAGGATCACCAACAACAAAAGAGCTTCCAGCTTCAGTGTCATGAGCTCCCCCTAAGGAGGAAGCCTTCCTCTTATGAGGAGGACGCTTCAACGTCATGAGCTCCCTCTTGAGTAATCTCCCTCTCAAAGTAAGAACCAAGGTAGACAACATTCAAAGGAACAACAGCTTGTGGCATGAAACCAAGATCATGAAACCCTTCATAGTCATTGGTCTCTAATTGATCACCAATGTCTTGAATGGGATGATCATCAGTTGTTGCATCAATTTCTAGAATATCAGCAATAACAATCTATTTTTGAGGACCAACTTCAGCTTCGACCCTTGTAGTCATCTCAGGCTGAGATAAAGTTGGTATAATCACACCTACATTTGCATTGGCTGATGACCCCTTGATTATTCTCCCCCTTTTTGGCTGCATCATATTGGGGAGGAGAGTAAGGAGGTGATGGAGGAGTTTTAAGAAGAGGATGAGATTGTGGAGGAGGTGGTGAAGGAAGATTTGTTGATGGAGGTGGAGGTGGATAAGGATTATCACCTGAAGAGTTTGGTGGGGTGTCATCAGTAACCATATCATAATCTTCACCCAAAGCCATAAGTCGCTTCATTATAGTCACATCTCTTTCAACTTTACTGAACCTTATCCAGAGATTGAGTAATCTGCAAAATTAGAGAAAGTTGGGAAAGCACATCACTCTGAAAGTTAGAGCTAGATTCTTCCTGATTATCCTGATGAAAGGTAGCATTCATGATAGGATTTTTCATAAGAGGAACAATCTCAACTTGAGGAGAAGGAGACACTGACTTCTCAAGGATCAATGGTTCGACAATTTTAAAAAAATGAAGGGTTCATCCAGATTGTGCAGCATTATCTGCAGAGGGAGTGGGTGAAGGAGTAGATGGGAATTGAATGTGCTTTTTCATCCTTGGAGGAGAATTCATTCCCTGAGCATACTCTTATCACCTATCAGTAGCTAATTCTTCTTCATCTTTATCAGTTTCTTCTTCCTCATAATCCTTTTTTTTTAATTACCAGTTTTTGTATCATCATCTTTCTCATCATCCTCTTTAGAGTCTGAGGATTAAACCATATAGGGATTCTCAATCCATTTTTGCATCCTCATAGTAATAGGTAAGTCACCTTGAGATGGAGTGGCATTAATAATCTTTGAGGAAAGGGCAAGAATTGGAATGATAATCCCATGTCTTTCAACATAGCCTTCATCTCAAGAGAAGATCATACCAAGCTAATGAGGATAAGGAACATGCAATGGCTTCTTGTTCCCAGTAATGCAGTCAGCCATTTGATCAAGAAAAACTTGAGCAAAATCCAAACTGATGTTGTAAAAAATAGAGTATAAGATCATTTGCTCAAAGAGATTCAATTGATCAAAACTCCTAGTCTTGTGTCGAAGACATTTTCCAATCACACCTGTTAATTACTTCCATCCTAAATTAAAACATAGACGGAGAGTGTTCTTGTATGTATCACGAGTGAAGCCCTGAAGTTTAAAATTATAACCTAATTTTTCACAAACAAATTTGCAACTTTCTTCAGAAGGAGTTTTAGAGTAACTTTCAAATTAAGGAAGACAAAGAGTTGTCCGAAAGGATTCCACATCAATAATAACCCTATATTGACCATCTCCAATGGTTATATTGATGGTTTGATCGTCAATGTTAACATATCATGAATTGTAGAACTCACATACTTTTTAGGGCAGAATGGATGCGGGAAGTCCCAAAATACATATCAAAGCAGACAGCTCATTACATACTTGATGAAATTTCTAATTCCAGATTTTACAAACTACTTTGGGAATCCATCCGAGAACGCCACATTGGTCGATTAAATGATGGTAGGAAAGTCAAGGGCATGAGGTCCTCTGACGATGTTATCCTGGGGGAAAATCGTATAGAGGATTTGACATGGTGAAAGCTTTGAGGAAGATGAGGATTGAGAGTCTTTTTTAGAGAAATGTCCAATTTCTTGAATATCTTGTAAAAGTGAACTAGGATGAAGAATTCCCAATTTATGCCTGAAATGTTTCTTCCTTTTTATGTAACCATGAATGAATATACGTAAAAATCTCGTATCCCAAGATAAGGATGGATCTTTCAGTCGTCATCCAAAAATTTACTGTTGAAATAGGTGAGACATATCTGTTGGATTACTGTCTAAGTCCATAACTATAATTGGTTGGCATGGTCCATTTGGGTTGCATTGCGTCAGAACATTTAGATAGACCGTTTGGGAGAAGAGGACATTTGTGACATATTAATATACTATAAGTTCTAATATATTAATATGAAATCATGTTATTTAATTAGTATTGATCAAGAATTAATTTGGACTTAATTTAGTGATCAAAAGGAACTAATTAAATATATGGGGATTGTGTCACACCCCCAAACCGAAGGCGGAAACGTTTCGGGGCAGTGGACGTCATGAATATCGTAACCAATGTACATAGTAATCATAGTAAACACAAAACATTACAATACATGTGAATAATTACATTTGTTTGAAAGCAAAGTGTTACAAAGGTTATACATATATCATATGAACAAAAGTTAAGACAAGTCTTCAGTACGCTCCGTCTTCTCCAAAAGATCGTGGGTACCTGTCTAATATGGACCTGATAATACAAGCAATTTGAAAATCAGCATAAAGCTGGTGAGTTCATAAGAGGTTTGTTTTCTGAAAATGTACAAGTTTCCTTTGGTTTTCCGAAAAAGTTTGTTATCCAAGAAAATCCCATATTTTCTTATATGTAAAGTTTAGTTAACTGTTTTGTTACACGATTCTGGTTATGTACAATTTTTATCCTAGGAAAAACCCTTATTTTCCTAAAAGTAAGTTTAGTTATTGAATCCCAATGTACTGTACAATTATCTATCATACTTGTTATATTAGTTAGGTATTCTGATATCCTAGTTATGTTACACTCGAATATATCTAGAGGAGTGCTTTCGTATTTGTATTCCTATTCTTATTCATATTCATATTCGTATTCGTATTTATATTTGTATTCGTATTTATATTTGTATTCGTATTCCTATTTGTATTCATATTTAGCGAATTGGCATTCGTATTCGTATTCGTATTCCTATTTCTATTCCTATTCCTATTTGTATTCGTATTCGTATTTGTATTCGTTCGTATTCGTATTGGTATTCGTATTGGTATTCGTATTCATAATCCTATTCCTATTTATATCCGTATTCGTATTCGAATTCGTATTCGTATTTGTATACGTATTCCTATTCCTATTTCTATTCCTATTCCTATTCCTATTCCTATTCGTATTCATATTCGTATTCGCATTCGTATTCGTATTTGTAATCGGATTCGTATTCCTATTCCTATTCCTATTCCTATTTGTATTCCTATTTGTATTCGTATTCGTATTGGTATTCGCATTCATGTTCATATTCGTATTCGTATTATTCCTAGCCGAACTTTCGTATTCGCGCTGTTCCTAGCTGTACTTTCGTATTCGCTCTGTTCCTAGCTGTACTTTCGTATTCGTTCTGTTCCTAACTGTACTTTCGTATCCACTCTGTTCCTAGTCGTACTTTCATATTCGTTCTGTTCCTAACTGTGTTGTCGTATTCGTTCTGTTCCTAGCTGTATTTTCATATTCGTTCTGTTCCTAACTGTGTTTTCGTATTCGTCTTGTTCCTAACTGTATTTTCATATTCGTACTCGTATTAGTTCTAATTGATGATTATTATGAATTATTCGTAAATTATGAAAAATAACATAGATTGTAACTCTTTATCAAGAAATCTATGATTAGTCTGAAAGCTAACTCTGTAATTTGAATTATTGGTTAACACAGTTTTCCATATTAAAAACATACAGAATATAAACATTTGAACTGAAATAATAAGTTTGAGTACAAGATTTCCTTGTACTTTTGCTTGTATTCCCCTGAAAACATTTGAAAAACATTTAAAAATGGTAGGGGTATGAACTCACTAGTCAAGAAGCGTGTCGGATTGGATGCTAAGTGTCGGTTCGGGGCTTGATAACGCATGAGGTTCCTGTGTAATATGAAATGATATACAAATGTATCTAATTAGACTTTAAATCACTAATTAAATATGATTATACACTCCAAGACACGAAAACACTTCAAATTAAGTGTTTGGAGTGACCCGGGAGACATCTAGGGACGTATATGGCTTGGATATGGAGTTTACTCTTCAAGAGTAAACTCCTAAGGGATTTCACGGCCCTAATGACCCATTCCCCATGAGTTTACGGCCATAAACTCATGGTGGGGTGTTCTATGGTTCTAAATGGTCTTATTTCACTTTGGAAAATTGGCTAGGATCAAATCTAGGGCATAGGAATTGATTAAACCAATATATGGACCATTTAATGGAGTTTACGGTACTAAACTAAAAGTTTACGGCCGTAAACTCCCCCCACACACTTTCCTTTGATGTTTTGGTGGTCCTAGGTCATTACAAGTGTTTGTAGCTAAATCTACAAGCCATAGAATGAATTTAAGGCACCATTTAACTATGTTATAGGAGTTTACGGCCCAGGAACCCATCCTTGGGGGGTTTATGGTCGTAAGCTCCTATGGGGGTGGTTTTCATTAAGTTTAAGGCCTCTAACTCGTTTTTGGTTGCTTCTAGACTTTAATCCAAGGCTTAGGAGGTGTGTAAGTGGCAATTTAACACCTTAGAAGGAGTTTACTACCCATGAATGGGTGTTTACGGCCCAAGCATGTTCTTGGGAAGTAAACTCATGTTTACTCCTTAAATGATGAGTTCAAGGTGTTCTAAGTCCCGTTTGGTAAGCCCCTAAGTCACATCTAAGCTCCAAATGTGGTTTGGAAGGGTTTTGGGCTCCCAGACCCCATTAATATGTGTTCACGACTCAAGAGTGTTCCAACGCCGTAAATACATGTTTATGGTCCTAAATCATGATTTGAACACAAAATTGAAGGCTAAAGATGTTATACTAGGAGCTAGGATAGTTACCTTGGTGATTTGAAGCTTGAAATGAGTGATTTTGGATCAACAAGTTGGATTTGAGGGGAGAGGTTAGAGAGAGAGTGAAAGGGCTTCAAATGAGGCTTAAACAAATTTAAATATGATTTGGATTTGATACACGATGGAATTCTACCCGATACTGACGTTAACCGAGGCTTTTGGTCGCACCCGATTAAGTTGTCGTAACCCGAAATGGTCGAAACTAAAATTTATCTAATTATCATATTGGGGTGTTTTCTCTAGTTTCTAATGGGTTTGGATACTAATTAAGTCATAATAGAAGTCTCGAAATAAATGACTTAATTTTAAAAATGTAAACGGAAATGATTCAAAAAAGACGAATTTTATAGACGGAAACGGGTTACGGCGATGGAACGAACTTCGGGTTGTCACATTATATCCCCGTTAGAGGGAATTTCGTCCCAAAATTCAAACTTTAGATACAATTTATGGATTCAAAAAGAAATACAGATACTTCTACTTTATTGGATTTTTGCGCTCTCAAGTAAATTCGAGTCCTAGTGTGGCTTTCCAGCGAATCTTCACTGTTGGGATATGACTTTGTTTCGTACGTTAATCTCTCGACCTATGATTTCGATTGGTTCTACCGTGAGGTTCAGACTTTCATTGGTTTCATCCTAATAGAAGGAATTACTAGGGTTTCATCGAATAGGCACTTCTTAAGGACAGAGACGTGAAATATCGGATGTATGCTGCTAAGTTCTGAGGCTAGTCGGAGATTGTAGGCTACAGAATCGATCCTAATGAGGATTTCGAAAAGTTCTATGTACCTCAGGTTTAGTTTTATGCATTTCAAAGTCTAACACACCTTCTTTCTCATCGTTAACTATCTCGATGGTAAACGTTTCGGTTACTAGTTGAGGACTATGTTTATGAAGATGTTCGAATGAATAGCAAACAATTTATCTTTCAGTAATATAATTGAAAAGGATTGCAAGCATAAGGGTTGTCGAAGAGGAATATACCTGTGGCAACGACTGAAACTAAGTTTATTGTCGCAGATTATAAGAGTTTGACCAGGGGGAAGGTTGAGATGGATAGATTTTTCGGAACAAAGGATATCAGCACGATTGAGATTCAATCAATCCATGCCAACGAATTCTTCAAAGCTCTATCTATGAGAAGTAGCTGGCTCTCTGAAATTTCTTGAACGGAGGAGAGTATGGCAGCAAAGAGTTGTTGTTCCTTGGG